CCGGTGCGGAGCTGCCTCCTGGTGCAAGCCGGCTCCCGCGGCAGGCAGGACGGTGCGCCCTGCTCCAGCACCCTCAAAGGTGAGCCGGGGGTGGCTCGGAGTGTCCCCCCCCCTCCCCAGGGCTGGAGCATGCCGGTCCCACCGGCCCCCAGGGCTGGGATGGGGGGCACTGCTGCAGTGCCAGCAGGGCGGGCTGAGCGTGACTCTGCTCTGCCAGCCTACGTGACCCCGCAGCTGGAGACCCTGGAGCAGGAGGAGCAGGAGCGCCTGGAGGTGACCCGTGTGGCGGTGGCGTGTCCCCTTCCCCATGTCCTGCCCCCCCTGCCCTGGGGTGAGCCCTGCAGCGATGCCCACCTGGGGGCTGCGCCCTGTGCAAGGTTGCTGTGGGCAGCCTGGTGTCCCCTCCCTGGCTCGGACACCAGTTCTGTCCCACCAGCCTGGTCCCCTTCCCCTACTCTGGGTGGCAGCTGGAGTGGGGAGTTTCCCACAATGCATCTGGCGTGGTACCCTGATTGAAAGGGGTGCTGGGGTGTGCCATCTCAGAGCGGGGGTGCCCTGGCTCTGCCCTCCACCCTGTGCCCCGCACCCCTCCTGCAGCTCAGAGCACACCCCATAGAGAGGAGGACCCACATGGTGAGCCACCAGCATGGGATGACTGTCACCAAGACCCTCTGGGAGGGAGAGGTGAGGCTGAGGGGGGGCTCTCTCCTCTCTGCCCCCCAGATGGGGGCACATCCTAGGAGCAGGCAGCATGGCTGGCCTGTCCCACCCAGGGGTGCCCCCAGGCTCCCGGGGGGTGCTGTCCCTGGGTGCTGTCCCTGGGGATGGCGGGGCTTTGGCTGTCCCATGAGGTGGCCGGGTCTCTCCGCAGGCAGAGCCGCGGTGCTGGAGCTTCTCCTATGGCCGGGCCGAGCTGCGGGGGCTGCTGCCGGAGGGTGCCAGCCTCCTGCTGCTGCGGGTGCTGGCATGCCGGTGGGCAGTGCCCCCCGGCCTCATCTTCCCGGCCATCGACACCGAGGGCCACCTCTGCACCTCCAGCTATGTGAGCCACTGGCCAGGGGGGCTCATGGGATGGGGGGGGTCTGGGTCAGGTTGGGGGTGCCAGGGTGGGATGCGGGAGGTGGGGGTGATGATGAGCTGAGCTGTGCACGCCGGTGTGGGCGTCTCCACCATCTGGCACAGCAGCTTCCTCCCCAGCGGGGTGGGGGGTGGGATGCGGGAGGTGGCAGAGAGTGGGCGGAGGCGGAGGTGTTTGTGATCGAGCGAGCTGTGCACGCCGGTGTGGGCGTCTCCACCATCTGGCACAGCAGCTTCCTCCCCAGCGGGTATGGGTGGGGGTCCGGGCGGGCGCACTCCGGGCGGGGGCACCCCCAGCCTGGCAGGGACCCAGGAGGGGGGTCACCAGCTCTTTCCCCCACAGGCGTTTGGCCCGGCGGGTGCAGGTTGGCTGCCCAATGCTGGTGCTTCTGCAGGATGAGCCGGCGGGCGGCGGGTGCAGGTTGGCTGCTGGTGCTTCTTTGGGGGAGGCTTGTGCCCCCCAGCATGGGCAGCCCCTGCCTGCTGTCTGGCAGCCAAGTGGGGAACACCCTGCCCTGCCTTTCTGCTGCCAGGTGGGGTCAAGCCCCAACCCCCCTTCCCCAAACAGCCCCTGGACTGGGAGGAGGACATCCAGCTCTGCTCCTGGTTCCTGGACAGGAAGGTGAGATGGAGGGACATGGGGACATGGGGCTGTGCCACTCCCCAGCAGGGTCTCCCCTGGGGTCCCCAGGGGCACAGTGGGGATCAGGCCGGCCAGCACCCCCCCCAAGCTCCTCAAGTGTGGAAAAAGACCCAGGCATCCCACCCACCCCACTCTGGCACAGTGGCCTGGGGAGGGGACATCGGTGCCCAGGGGGGGACATTGGCACCTGTGCCCACCCTGCCCACCTGCCGCAGGAGGAGCTGCAAGCGTCCCACGCCGCCTACGTCCAGCAGCATCCTGAGCTCCGGGTGCTGCTGGCTGACTTCCTCCAGGCCCTGCTCCTGCAGCAGCCCCATGACCCCGTCTCCTTTGCCGCCCAATTCTTCACCCCCTTTGCCCACCAGCAGCCTGCCGGGACCCCCCACACCCGGGGCGGCCAGCCCCCTCCCCAGCCCCCCACCTCACCACCCTTCGGCTAACAGGGAATAAAGCTGCCAGTGCTGCCTGTCCAGGCTCATTTGCTTTGGCGAAAACTGAGGCACGGGGAGGGCAGGGGGTGCTGAGTGGCGTGCTAACCCCGCCCCCCCCATGCCTGGGGGGGACCCAGGCATCCTGCCCCCTCCCAACTGTTCTAGCCCCCACCTGAGGTGGGGGGTGCCTGGCACATACCCTGGGGCAGAGCCAGGCTCACATCCCTGTGCCAGGGCACCCCACATCTCCCTGGGGGCAGAGCCCCGATGCCCACCTCTCTGTGGGACACAGCCCGGTGGCAGAGGGGTGCCCCAAAGAGGCAGCCGGTACTACCCAGGCACCCATGGGTGCAGCTGGGGTGCTCCTCCTCCCACCTCCACAGCCACAAGGGTCCTGGGGATGGGGCGTCTTTTGCAGGAGCAGCCTGACCTGCCATGACACTGAGCACCCCATCTTTGGGGTGAAGGTCCCCCCATGCAGGGGTGGCGTGAGCACCCTGTGCCACAGAGCCTGCCTGGCTGGGCGCTCCCCCCCCAGCCGCTGAGGGTGCATTTTGACCTGCTCACATGCTTGTGCAACTCACGCCTGCTTCCTCCTCACTCCCACTCCTCCGGCCTTTCCCCTACTCCCATGGGGCCAGCCCTCCCTCCCCACGCTGCGGGACACTGTCCCCTGTCCCCCAACTGCCCAAGGAGCAGGACCCCTGGCACGTGATGGAGGGTGACATGCAGGCACACTCCCACACCCCTGGGCATGCTGGTGTGGGTGCCCCATGTTTGCACGTGCGTGTGCACGGCAAGGGGGAGGGAGGCACTGGCTCCCCCCCTCCTGGCACAGGGTGGGGGAACTGAGACCGTGCACATCCATAGCACCCAACCCCCACCAGGCAGGGCCCCTTTCCCAGCCCAGGTCAGCCGGTGGGGAAGGAGCACTTCCTCCTCCTCCTCCCTCCTCCTCCTCCTCCTCTCCTCCTCGGGGGGGCAGCTGGGGGGTCCTTTAAAAGCTGGGTGGCGGGCATTGCACCCAGTGTCGACATCAGAGCTCCCCAGCACCATGTCTGGATCGGGCCCAGCCATGGCATCGCTGGAGCCAGGTGAGCCCCATGACACTTGGGTCCCCCCACGCCTCCTTTCCTCCCCTAGACCCCCTTCCCTCCGCCCTGAGACCCCTGGCTCTGCTTCCCCCCCGCAGTGGGCACCGTCCCCCCCAGCCTGTCCTGGCTTCCTCACCTGCTCCGTCCTCTGTCCCCCCAAGCCCACCCATGATTCACCCCCACTCCCAGGACATGGGTGGGCTGGGGGGGGACTGGGACCAGCACCAGCCTCTTGTCCGCACTCCGTGCCCACCCAGCAGCAGGACCAGGAGCAGGGTCCCATCCTGTCCCTCCTGCCCAGAAATGCACTTGGCTCTTGGACCGGTGAAGATTGCACTGGGACCACGGGTTTCTAGGACACCTGAGCCTGAGGTGGCATCCGACCACTTTGGGTAGCCACTGACAGCCCTCATATAGCCACCCTCACGGCCCCCTGGAACAATGGGGCTCGTCCCTCATGGGGCTCACCAGGCAGGGGCAGGTGGGACTGGGGGGAAGCCGGCACCAGGGCTGCCAGCCTACCAGTGTCCTTGTTCCCCATCGGGCTGCCACCTCCCCTCCTCCTCTTCCTCGCCCCCCCCAGGCCTCACTGGGTCCCTGAACCAGGGCCAAGCCCAGACTTACAGCACCGGTGGGAGCCCCATGCCCCCGCAGCGCCCTGGCACCCGGAATCAGACCTACCTGGACGAACTCATCAGCATCCCCAAGGGCGGCGGGGTAGGTGCTGCCAGGCTGGCACCTCCATCTGAGGGTGGGCAGAGACGGGGCAGGGGGCCGGTACCGCAGGGAGCTTGAGGGGGGGGCAAAGGGCCACCGCAGGGCGGGGAGACCTGCCTGGGACATGCCCTGGGGACCTCAGCGTCCCCAGACCCTGCTCAGGCAAATCACAGCCCCAGGCTGAGCGTTTACACGCTTAAGGGTTTCAAATGGGGAAACTGAGGCACGGGGCGAGGTGCTACTCGGCCGCAGGGATCACCCCGCTGCTCACACACCTCCCGGGCTCCCTGTCCTGGGCCACCCGTGCTGAGCCCAGCGGGGCTCCCCCAGGCTGCCTGCGCCCTGCCAGCGCCCCCATCCCTGGCTGGTCCCGGGGGGCGGAACGGAGAAGGGGAAGGGATGGGGGTTCCCCTGCCAGGACGGGTGGTGAAAGCAGGGCTCGGCAGTGGGATCCCACGGGGTGCAATTAATGGTGCCTGACAGCCCCAGGACCACCCTGCAAATCGCTGTCCAACCTGTCCCCATGTGGGATGGGGGTCTCGCTGCCCCCCCCAGCACTGCTGCTAACGGAGAGGGGCTGGGGGGCAGCGGTTCCCTCCTCAAAGCAGGCAGGAGAAATGTCCTCTGTGTGCGAAATGCGCCCATGCAGGCAGCACAGGGCTTCCCCGCAACGGGCTAAAGGGGACCGGGAGTGCAACTGGGGGACACTGGCTTTAAATGGGAGCGCCCCGCTCTGACCTGCTGCCTCGTCCCAGCCCGGTTTCAGCTTTAGGAAACTCTGGGCTTTCACCGGTCCCGGCTTCCTCATGAGCATCGCCTACTTGGACCCAGGCAACGTGGAGTCGGACCTGCAATGCGGGGCGGTGGCGGGGTTCAAGGTGAGCCCTAGGCAACCCCCCGGCCCCAGGGTCAGGAAGCAGCCGGGGGTTTCGTAAACTTTCCTGTGCCAACGGCCACCCAGCCCATGGCAAGCCGGCTTCCCCAGCCTGGGGAGCGGGAAGGGAACGGGGGGGCCCTTGGCACTGGGGGAGGGCACCCAGGGGTGCGGGAGGGCCACCCCTCTGCCTGGGCTGGGGACCACCTCCAGCCCCTCCAGGCTTCTCCTTCCCCGTGTCCCCGGGCTGGTTGATAACCTTGCTGGGAGCCCCGGGCGGCCGGATCCTGCCCAGTGCCCAGCCCTTGCTGCCTCCCTCCCCCCTGCCCCCCCAGCTTCTGTGGGTGCTGCTGTGGGCCACCGTCCTGGGGCTGCTGTGCCAGCGCCTGGCCATCCGGCTGGGCGTGGTGACGGGGAAGGACCTGGGTGAGATTTGCTACCTCTATTACCCCAAGGTGAGCAGCCACAGGGAGTGCCTCCGGGGGTCACAGCCTGGGGGGACCCCGCGCTTGGGCTGGTGGCGGTGCTGGCAGGGATTGGGGGAGCAGGACTGTCTGGGGGGTGGAGAGGAGCAGGAAGATGCTGCGAGAGCGCTGCCTCTCCCAGGGGCTCCCCAAAGCCCCCCCCAGCCCCGGTGCTCCCCAACTAGCACCC